TGTGTGGAAAATACTACAAAATGCCTATAGGTGAAGTTCTACAGTACTTCACCTACGGCTTTATCACCGTTCAAAGTTTATTACACGGTTACGAATGTGTGATAGTGTTTGAATTTTAATATTTGTTTTATAAATCATAATGATATGAGATGCACATGAATAAAATATAAAACAAATAATTTGAATGATAAAAATTACATAAAATACGCCTATAAAGTTTCAGGGGTAATTTTATCATTTTAGTTTATGACTATTATTTTTTAAATATTTTGTTTTGGTGCGACTTAGTCATATGTGCACACGCCCCAATTTTAGATAAATTTGATTAATAAAAAAATTATAAAAATGCTAATACTATTAAAAATTGTGATCGTTTGATGAACTTTAGACGGTAATAAAGTATAGGTGAAGTACTGTAGAACTTCACTTATAGGCATTTTGTAAATGTTTCTTATATATATAATCCTTACTAAAGGATAATGAAGAATAAGAAAAGAAAATATATCAAGAAGGGAAAACGAAAGACTAAACTATTGAACGAAATACAAGTGGAAGAGATAAAATGAATGCAAAAGAGAATCGAGAATGAGATGAATGGAGGAGATGGGATTTAAACCTCAAGATAAAAGGAAAGAAAATAGATTAAAACAAAATATCCCTACATAGAGTAGAAAAGCATAATAAAAGAAGTATCAATAAGTATTAGATCAGAATGTATGAGAGATGGGAGAGATCTACACTATTACAGGGATTAAGAAGAAGGGAAAGAAGAATGAACACACCCAATCAAGAAATAACTGGAGCAAGGTATGAAAATACCATTACCAAATAGAAAAGATGAAGGATTCAAAGTGAGGATAAAGAATATATACTAACAAAAGGGGCAAAACAAGAAGAGACATCAATACAACAAATCAAGAAGAATACATGCTCTAAAAGGGAAGGAAGTCACTACTTAATGAAATAGAAATGAGGGAAAGAGATCTACCACATCATTACTAATAGTAAAGAGAGGAAGAGGAATGAACACAAAGATCCTAACTAGAAATAAATGATATCAAGAAAGGAATGAAGATTACTTAATTATAAGAGTAAGAAATAAAAGAGGTTTGTTGAAAAGAGGAAATCTACACCATTAAACAAAGGAATAATGGAAGGTAATAAATACCATGACAAAAGAAATAGATACAAACTAATAAAAGGAATAATGAGAGTAAAAATAACTAGCCTAGCACAATAAATACTACATGAAATAAGGGACCATTAAAATGGGGTAAAAAGAAAAGAAAATGAAGAGAAAGCGAGCAACTCTAACTAAAGAAAGATAAATGCAAAGTTTATAAGAAAAAGAAAAGAGAACTTTCTCAAGAAGTAAAGAAGAAAATGAAAGAAGTCATAAATGTAAATGTAAATGAAAATAAATCTTAGGAAAATAAATAAAAGGAGAAATGAGGGGAAAACGGCACCCCCAGGTCCGCACCCAGAGTCAACACCAGTTCAAATAGTAAATTTGCACAATCAACCCGAAATTTTTCAGTTCTTAATAGGACAAGTAGAAATAGGAAGAAGGGGGTCCGGAAGGTCTGATTATCTGGACTGCCTTTGGTTTGAAGTGTTGCTTGAAGGAGTTTGTATTCGTACTTTTGGATCGAAGGGTTTGATAGGATGGGGATTGCTCAAAGGGGTTCTTCTCTCAAGCTCAAGCTTGGGCGCAAGATCAAGAGATTTTTGGATATAGTCTAGGAAGAAGAGCAAGAGAACTCGGACCTTTTTCTTGAGGAAAAAGGGGCTTTTTATAGGTGAAATGAGCACATGACAACTTGTATCAAATTTCATACGAAAATTGGTGTCATCAGATCTTTGGCGCCATTTGGATCGGCGTTGGCGCTGGTTGGAATGGCGCCAAGTCATTAATGCTCGTCATTATGTCAATAGAAATTAATTGCTCATTAATGTTGATATGTACGATTTGTAAGATTTCGGTGCCATTGGCAATGCCGCTGGCGATATTCAGACTACCGCCCAGTACTGTTCAAGACACATGGCGTGCTCTGATTTTGTCAATCGTAGTTTGAAGATATTCCGACTAGCACCAGTGACGTTCAAAATGTCGTCAAATACCAGCTATCCTGTCATCTTGGTTGTACTTGCCTCTAACCATCATCCAATAGAAAATCGACAACTTCACTCCATACTGATAGCTGACATGTCAATACAAGTCTATAACGGTGGGTACGGACTGACATGTCAGCCCGTCACATCGATCACTTCGACCAGGCTGTGTCCCGGTTGTTGAAGGGCTCGAGACCTTATGCTATTGGAAATGGCGCTGGCGGCATTGGCTCTACGATCAGGCTTCTTGATCTTGTCATGATCTTTGAAAGCGGATCATGTTGAAGCTTGGTGATGGGGACCCAAGTGGTTAGGCGTCATTTTTCCTCGCTTGTGCGGCGGGATAAAATCCTCTCTCAAACAACTGCGGAGCGCTGCACATTTGTGAGTGTGCACACGTGTTTTCTCCTATGCGTGGATAAGAACTAAAAAAGAGAAAGATTTTACGATGGGGATGCTTTAAGGTGCTAACCTCACTATTTGGAGTTCAAGACACATCAGGGCAATTTGCCCTCTTAGAACAATTACGAAGCCCTCCGGTTGTCTACCAGCGCAGTTTGGAAACGAACTCTCTTTAGGCTTTAACACGTCGCTCCGTTCCCTTTCGCTTGAAAAATTGCAATGCGGATTCATCAGTACTCCTCTATAAACGTTCACTCAAATGAGAGGCTGGCTGGCAAGAAATAGGATGTGGGGAGAAATGGTGACAAGATTCTCCTTATACGCACAAACGCTACATGCTCAGACGATCAGGGCAATCAAAGGGTTAAAACTCTCTTGACTATCGGCTCGGAAGACTCCTCTCGAGTGATTGAGGGAGAGAGCGTATGCATCTCTTACAGCTCAACTCGACAGTACGACGAGGAAGTTAGAGCGATGGTATGGGGGTTGGAACTCTTAGGCTGACTTTGAAAGGTATTGAGTCGAGCATAGTCAGATAGTGAGATGCTATGCGATGCCGCAAGTTTGCTGCGTTTACACTAGAGATGCTTGGGAAAAGGGGTGGGACTGTACGTTTAACCTGGGTGCAGGTTATTGCGCAGGGCAAGCAAAGAGTGAAGAGAGAAAAGGAAGAAAAGAGAGAGAGAGAGAGAACGAAGCTGCGCGACTAGGGTGGACTAAGGGTAGTTTCTCTCTCTAAAAAATTTTCTCTATCTTTGGTGCTGGATCCAAGCGTTTGGAGCAAAAGATAAGTAGAAATGAGCTTAATGCCTCTATTTCATTAATGATTTTACAATTAACCTAAACTTGTTTATATAGAGGACCCACTAAACAGGGGTGGACGCTCAAAACTAAGCCTAATAACAATTAAAAGAAATTACAATAAAATCCAGATTTTAGGAATAATGATAAAAATACCCTTTTAACCTTTTGTGCCAATGACGAAACCATCCCTCTTTGAGGGTCCTTTCGCCATTGCCAGATCTTGAAAGCTTTTTCGAATGCTTATGGCAGTGGTTCAGACGATCTATCATCATAGCCTTGATGCTTGCTTGATTCTGATGAGTTTGATGTCTTTTTTATCATCTTTGAGACAAACTTTTTCAAAAAGGTAGAAATCCGGCTAGATCGTGAATTTTGGCAGTCAATGCAATGCGATCCACTATGTTCCTAGTCTTTATTTTGATTGTAAATTAAAGAGGAGACTTCCACAGTAATTTTGCACCAATCTTTGTCTGTTTTGGTTCTTGCTTGAAGTATTTTTTGAATTCGGGAGATCGCCGAAAAAATGAATTCTGGCGACCGGACGATCTTGCTTCTTCAACCTTGGAATTTGCGATTTAT